AATGGGGGTTTGTTCTCTGGCGCGCAGGAGTGGGGGTCGCAAAGTGCTCAGTGGGGGAGGTTTTTGAGCCAGGAAGAGCCAGGAAAAGGAATTTCACAAGATAACGTCATCACTTAAGGCAAGGATCGGCCATTTTCACTTCTTTTGTGGAGGAATGTCATCAGTTAAGGCAAGAACCTGCCATTTTCACCTCTTTTGTGGTGGAATGTCATCAGTTAAGGTGGGGGCAGGGCATTTTCACTTCTTTTGTGATTCTTAGGTTACTTCAGGCCATCTGGGCGTATTCCTGCAAGTCACAGGGGATGCGATGGCTTGGTTTGGGCTCAGAGGCCTGACAGATATGAATAAAAAATTCACCAGAGAAATAGATATAATAGAAAAAAGAATCAAACAGAAATCCTGAAAGTGAAGAATTCAATGCATAAAATAAAAATTTATTCAAGAGCTTCCACAGTAGAGTGGAACAAAAAGAAGAAAGCATCTCAGAACTTGAAGGCAGGCCTTTTGAAATAACCCAGCCAGAACCCCCCTCCCCATGCCCCACTCGCATAAAAGAATTTTAAAAAATGAACTAAACCTACATAACATATGGGACACTATAAAACAACCAAAAACATAAATTTAGGGTGTTCCAAAAGGTGAAGATGCCAAAGGTATAGAAAACCTAATTAACAAAATAGTAGCTGAAAACTTCCCGAATTTGGTAAGAGATTTAACATTCAGATACAGGAAGTTTAGAAATTCACAAGTAATTAAAACCTCAAAAGGTCTATTTTACAGCACATTATAGTAAACTGTCAAAAGTCAAACGGAATTCTAAAAAGAGCAAGAGAAAGGAAAAAGCTCTGGTCACATGTATGGGAAGCCAGATCAGACTAACAATTTCTTAGCACTAACCTTATAGGCCAGGAGAGAATGGCATAATACATCTAAAGTGCTAAAAGCAGGGGGAAAACCTGTCAGCCAATAATACTATCCCTAACAACATTATTCTTTATTAAAAAATGTGAAATAAATGTTTATTCATCATCACTAGACCAGCCTTAGAAGAAATACTTAAGGGAGTCCTATGCCTGGAAGAGAACGAATGATATATACCATCATGAAAACATACAAAAGTCTAAAACTTGCTGTTAGAGCTAACACAGAAATAAGAAAAAGAACTCAAATGTTACCACTACAGAAAACCACCACAACACAATGATAAACTATGAGAGAAAGAAAGGAAAAATATACAAAACAATCAGAAAAAAATTTAACAAAATGACAGAAATAAGTCTTCACATATCAATAATAACCTTGAATGTAAATGGATTAAATTTTCCACTTAAAAGATAAAGTCTGGCTGAATGAAGTTTGAAAATGCCCCAACTATATGCTGCCTACAAGAAACTCACTTCACATGTAAACACATATAGACTAAAAGGAAAGGAATGAAAAAAGATATATCACACAAATAGAAACCAAAAGTGAGCAAAAGTAGCTATACTTGTATCAGATAAAACAGACTTTAAGACAAAAGCATTACAAAGTGACAAAGAAGGTCATGCTATATAATGATAAAGGGATCAATTCAGCAAGAAAATATAATTCTAAATATATATGCACCCAACACCAGAGCCCCCATATACATAATACAAATATTATTAAATCTAATAGACTTCAATACAGTAATTGTTGGGGACTTCAACACTTCACTCTCAGCATCAGACATGTCATCTAGAAAGAAAACCAACAAGGAAGAAATAAATTTAAACTACAGCTTAGAACAAATGGACCTAGGAGACATCCACAGAACATTTCTTCCAACAACTTCAGAATACAAGTTCTTCTAATCAGCAAATAGAACATCATCCAAGATAGACCATAAATCAGGTCACAAAACAAGTCTCAACAAATTTTAAAAATATCAAAATCATACCAAATATCTTCTCAGACCATCATGGAATAAAGCTAGAAATCAATAACAAGAGGAACTTGGAAAAGGTACAAGTACAAGGAAATTAATCGATGTTATTCTGAACAAACATTGTGTCAATGAGGAAATTAAAAAGGAAATCAAAACACTTCTTGAAGTAAATGAAAATGGAAACACAACATACCCAAACATATGGTATACAGCAAAAGCAATGCTAAGAGAGAAGCTTATAGCAAAAAAAGGCCTACATCAAAGAAGTAGAAACATTTCAAGTAAGCAATCTAATGATGCACCTCAAGGAATTAGAAAAGCAAGAACAAACCAAACGCCAAATTAGTGTAAGGAAAGAAAGAATGAAAATCAGATCAGAGTAGAACTAAACGAAATTGGCTAAAAATACAAAGAATCAATGAAAGGCGAATTTGGTTTTTTGGAAAGATAAAATGGATAAACTGCTAGTTAGACTACCCAAGAAAAAAAGAGATAAGACCCAAATAAACGAAATCAGAAATGAAAAAGGAGACACAATAACTAATACTACAGAAATACAAAACACATCAAAAACTATTGTGAACAACTATTTGCCAAAAAACTGGAAAACCTATAGAAAATGGATAAATTCCTGGACACTTACAACCTACCAAGGTTGAAACAAGAAGAATCAGAAAACCTGAACAGACCAATAAGGAGTAACAAGATTGAATCAGTAATGTAAAAATCTACCAACAAAAAAAAGCCCAGGACTGTATGGCTTCACTGCCAAATTCTACCAAACTTTTGAAGAACTAATGCAAATTCTCCTCAAGTTATTCTAAAAAAATAGAAGAGGCCTCATAGAATGAGGCACTATCCTGATACCAAAACCAAACAATAATGCACCAAAAAAGGAAAACTACAAGCCAATAACCCTGATGAACACAGACACAAAATATCCTCAACAAAATGCTAGCAAATTGAATGAAACAGCACATCAAAAAGATAATCCTGCCATGATCAAGTGGGATTTACTCTGGGGATGCAAGGATGATTTAACATCCACAAATCGATAAACATGATATATCACATCAACAGAATGAAGGATAAAAGCCATATGATCATCTCAATAGATGCTGAAAAAGCATTTGATAAAACCCAAAAAAATGCTTTTTGACAAAAACTCTTAACAAATTAGGCATAGAAGGAATATACCTCAACATAATAAAGGCCTCATATGACAAACTCACAGCTAACATCACATGAAATGGGGAAAAGCTGAAAGCTTTCCCTCTAAGAAGTGGAACAAGGCAGGGATGCCCACTTCCACCACTCCTATTCAAAATAGTACTGAATATCTTAGCCACAGCAATCAGGCAAGTGAAAGAAATAAAAGGCACCCAAACTGGAAAAGAGGAAGTCAAATTTTCCTTCTTGGCAAATGACATGATTTTATACTTAGAAAAACCTAAAGACTCTACCAAAAAACTTCTAGATCTGACAAACAAATTCAGTAAAGTTTCAGGATACAAAATCAACATATAGGCTGGGTGCAGAGACTCACATAGGTAATCCCAGCATTTTGGTGGAAGGATTGCTTGAGCCCAGGATTTCAAGACCAGCCTGGACAACATAGTGAGACACTCATCTCGATTATCATTGTAAAAAATTATTAAATAAACATACAAAATTCAGTAGCACCAATAATAACAGAGCTGGAAAAGAAATCAAGAAGGCAATCCCATTAACAATAACTACCAAAAAAAAAAAAAAATAGAAATAAATTTATCCAAGGAGGTGAAAGATCTCAATAAGGAAAACTACAAAACACTGATGAAAGAAATTGAAGAGGACACAAACAAATGGAAAGACATCCCATTTACACAAATTGGACAAGTTAATATTACTAAAATGATTGTACTACCCAAAGCCATCTGCAGATTCGATGCAATTACTAACAAAATACCAATGTCATTTTTCACACCCCAACTCCACACAGACAGTGACCTCAGCCAGGAATGGATTTTTTTCTGATCAGGATCATCATTTCTCATTCAGTGTTCATATGACGTTGAATGAAACATTATTTGAGGACCTGCTGTGTGACATTTTGCACTGAAGAGAGAGATGCACTTGCAGGTGTTTCCATAGATCACTTTGACAGCAGGACATGGGGTGGAACCTGACTCAGACATGAGCCTCCCCTCCAGTCAGTTCATAGCCCGGATCTACCACTCAACAACTCTGCCACGTTGAGCCTATCACTAAACATCAGAGCCTCGGTGTCCACAGCTGTGAAATGCGGACAGTAGTGACTACCTTGCAGGACAGAGAGGTGGCCATGAACACAATAAGGATCTGGAACCAGGCTGTTGGATGCTTGTCCTATTGCTTCCTGGCTGTGTGACCCTGGGTAGGTTACCTAACTTTGTAGGGCCTCTAGCTTCCACCCCACAATAGAGTTATGGCATATGTTAGTTTATGGAATATACTTGCAACAGTGTCTGCGCACCTTAAGGTCTATATGAATGGCAGCTATGAACCTTCCTGGGTGTTGTGAGAATGAAATGAGATCCAGTTTCTAAAGGGCTTCCTGCTGTGGTGTGCACACGAATTAAACTCACTGGAAAGGCTGTTATATCATTGTGGGCACTGCATTTGGTGACAGAGGGTAAGGTTTCACATTATTAGCCTGACTTTCCTGATGGATCTAGCAATACTGTTTCCCATTAACATAATGAGCATCCACAGGATAAGGTGAAGGAGGATCATCAGCATGGATGGGAGGTAGAGTTTGACTCAAGAGCCTCGGAGTCTTGCTGCTGCATTTTGTATGAGTGTGTAGTGGGGACGGCCTGGAAGAGGACACTATCAAAAAATTTATTCAGGGAACTGGAAGGTGATGGAGCAGGGAGACACACTCAATTTAAAACAAAAATTGAAAGTAAACAAGACTGACTGCTTTTGCCACAAAAATGTTGAGGTTTTTGGTAAACTAAGCCTTTGAGAATTTCCTGCATTATCATGTGCCGAAATGCAAAAATGTTTGGGTTTGCCGAAACCAGCAACTAAGCAAGGTTTTAAAAGGCAAGAGACAGGCCTGGCTCACCTGGCCCCTGTGCTGACACCACATCCATGGCACCTGGCAACAGCTTGGGTGAGAGAGGTCACAAAAGATATCCAGATTGCCCTGAAAAGCAGCGTGGCCACGATGAAGCCATGCAGCCTGGATGCCTTCTCAGGACTCCCCAGCCCTCCATGGCTCTGTTCCAAGGAACACACCCAGAGAAAGCTCCCATTTCCCCCTGGAGGAGGGGCCTGGCAGGGTTGCATGTTGGAGACGTGGTCACTGTGGCCACAGAGTTTTGGAATCTGAACCAAAAAGTACTTTGATTGTAGAAAGAAGAAAAGCCAGGGGCAGATTCACAGGAAAACTCCAAAGGTAGGAGGAGCCTGTGGTTCCAAGCAGAGGTCCTGAAGGGGAGCATGAGTTAGGCCTGGGGGCCCAGCACGGGGGCCTGGGCAGGAGGGAGGAGGAGCCTTGCTGCTGGGGGCACACAAGGGGAAGGCAGGTGAGAGGACCATGCCCTGCTCAGGGGGTAGGTACCTGACACCAGGGAAGAGAGAAGAGGAAGGCAGAGAAAAACAGGCCAGAAAGCAGCGCAGGACCCACGGCGGGCAGCCCCTTGGCCACTAGGTGCTGCAGTCAGGCCCTTCTGGGCCTTGGCGGGAATGGGATGAGGGCCGTGCATTGCAAGGCAGTGCAGGCTGCTGGCAGGTGACCTCCTGCCCCTGGAGGCTGTGTTTCGGCTTCTCTGTGCCCCACACTCTGGGGAGAGACAGGTCTGGCTTCCCCAGATGCCCACTGAGGCTGCAGAGGAACCTGACACTCCCAGGAGGAAGCAAGAGATCCGACCACAGACAGAGCCAGGACCAAGGGGGAGAGGGGCAGACCAGGCAGGAACTCTGGGGTCCTTCCCCCTCAACACCAGCCACCCAGGAGCCCTTTCTACCCCTGTGCAGGGCCCCTGCTGCTGCCTAGCTGGGTTCCCGTCAGCAAGATGGGCCTGTACCCGCCCGTGAAGGAGGTTTCCTCAGGGAGAGTGGTTGTCGTGTTGGCTCCGGGGCTCGAGCTCCTGCACAGGTGTCTTGTGAGGGCGCTTTCGGGTCTCCACCTCCTCCCCTCCCTGCAGCGCCTGTCAGCCCATCTCAGTAGGCGACAAGCCCACTCAGGGACAGCTTTTCCTCACTGCCTGAAGATCCTGCTGCCCGGGCTGGCAGGTGCCCCTGGCATCCTTGCAGTGTTCGTGGTGATGAGAATGCGTGTCAGGACTGGTCATTTCTATTTTTTTTTCTGATCTACATGACCTTTTGTGACTCAGGTTGCTTGACCCATGCACCTGCAGGCAGGTGGTTTAAAGCCCCGGAAAACTGCCAGAGCTGAGGCACCCCTGTGGGAACCAGGGACTGGTCAGACATCAAAAGTTGCCACTGTACAGAAACATGGATCCTTCTAGGGAGGGAGTTCAATGTGCGGGGACAGACCTGGTGGTGCAGAGGACAGGAGCCCTCACATATGCCTGCCACTGGGGCACTAGCATGAGGTGGACCTCTGGTTTCTCCTGGCACCAGGTGACCAAAGTCCATCCTCCATAGAGCCCGCCTTCCTCCAGGGCCCAGGTCTCTGCAGTGGGACCCAGCTGCCCCCACCTCCCGTAGTCCCAGCCTGGGGGTTGCAGCCCCTCTCCACTGTGCTTCTCACCTCTATCCCTCTCATCCCCCACACTCCTTGACAGCCCTGGGGACTGTGCAATGGTCCCAGCATTTGCAGGTGACTGTCTGCATCCACCTGGTTGCAGATGCAGCCTCCCTGGGCCCACTACGTGGCACCGCAGAGGCCATCCTTGACCAGGGAGGCCTGTCCCCACCCTGTCTCAGGCCCAGGGCCTCCTGCCTCAGTTACTCACCACTGCATATGGCCCCTGGGGTGGGTCCCCAGCCCAGGTGAGCCACAGCCTGCTCCCAGACTCCTGGTCCCTGTGTTCACTGGGCTGATGTCCCTCCCAGCTTGGTGCCCGCCAGGACTCCTTCACCCCTCAGCCCTGCAGTCCCTAGAAGCTAACCCCAGCCAGCCCCTCATCCCTGCCAGGAGACAGGGATCCAGAGAAGCCAAACGGAGCCACACCCGCATCCGGAGCCTGGGGACGGGGCTGAGCTCTGTTCTCTCCTCCCTCTGCTCTGTCCTCTGTCTGCAGCTCTCTGGGCTGGCTTTTTCCGCCCCAGCTCCCAGTGCCCCTGACACTCTCCCTGCCCTGGGCTCCATCTCTGCTTTTGTCTCCTGCTCTGCCTTATAAGGGGCCCTTCCCGCTCCTGTGGGGTTGACATTTCACCCTCAGCCCCGACAAACCAGGACTGTGAGCTGCCCATGAGGAACTTCATTTCTATCCCTCCCCAACCCAGCATGGGGCCCAGGGGAAGCTGGAGCTCAGTAAAGACAGATGAAGGAATGGGGAAGGCACCAGACATGTACCGAGATCCATGCTGGTTTCTCAAGTCACAGACAGCTGGGGGTTACAGCACCATCCTCCATTTGGGCCATCAGGACCTCATGGGGGACCCTCTCTTCCTCCCTCCACACAGAGGCCGCCTCCTGGCCCTTGTCCATCTGAGGCTTCCAGAAGTCCCGATTGTTGAGGCAGCCCTGGTTTCAGGGGTTCTGGGGTCACTTCTTTCTAGGAGCCAGGGCAGGCCTCACCCCCTTGTCCAGGGCAAGCCTCAGCCCCATGTCCAGGGCATCCCAGGCCAGCTCTCTGTGGCCAGCTTGGGGCAGGAAGTCCTGCAGAAGCCCAGGCTTGCTAGGCTCTGGGAATGTGTGGACAGGTCTGCCACTCCCTGGGCTCATGTGATGAGCCAGGAGCTGAGGGAAATTTCCCACAGGCGGGATCATGGGGCAGTCACATGTTAGAGTCTCTCAGAGGACGGGCCTGTACCTGGGCCCCAGGGCTGGGTGGGGAAAAATCACTTGCCTTCTTGCAGCACAGCCGCCAGACACAGCACAGTAGCAGTGGTGCAAGCAGCAGGGGTGGCACAAAATAGAGCCAGTTGCGAAAAATGCCCTGGTGGAGAAAGACAGTACCATGAACCACATCTAAGGGACAGAGGAATGCCAGGCCTGGGAGGGCCTGGGTAGCCTCATCCTGGTGCCCACCACTTGGGGGCCCATCTGCCCACTCCCCTTTCTCTACAGGTGGTCCCACCTCAGGGCACAATAGTGGGGTCGGGCATAAGGGATGCTCCCAAGGGAATTCCAACCCCTTCCTCTGACCCCGCTGAAAGTCTCTGCCCAAGAGCCCTGTCAAGAAAGTCCTGGAAGCTCACACTGTCTGACAAACCCCCCGCCTCACTGCACACCTTGCCTGCAGCACAAGGCTTCTGGGAGGACCCCAAAATCTCCAGGTACAATGATGGGCAAGGGTGGGGGTGCTGTGGCCAAGAGAGGTGCAGGTGCAGGAGCAAGGACAGGAGACCCAGGTCCATCCCCAACAGCCTATATCCCCACTTCCAGGCTCTGCACCGTGGGCACATCCATGCACCGCTCTGAGCCTCAGCCTCCACACCTCTGTGAAGAGAATGGGCCTCCCTCCCTGGGGGCACTTGTGAGGTTTAGAGAGCTCAGAGAAAGTCCTGGCTCAGAACCAGGCCACATGGGGTGTAAGCAACAGGAACTCTTCTCTGGGTGTTCTTCACAATGAAGGGAACTTGGGCGACATCCGTGGGAATACAAGCTGCCCAGGCCTTCCCCAAATCCAGAGCTCTGTTTAGAGACAAAGATGGGGAGGGCAGGGGAGGGCAGGGAGGGAAGGGGAGAGGAGGGGAGGGGGCCTGTGCTGAGAACCCAGCTGGCTGAAGGAGAGGAACCACTGAGGCTGAGCATGAAGGCCGCTGGTGAGGCTGGAGCCCCAGGGCTGCTCCTGATGTGCCTGTCACCGTGGAGCCTTTAGTGGGTGGATTCCTGATGGGGAATGTGTGTGTTCAGCCTGCTAATCCATGCGTGGATATGCAGGGACAGGCAAGGGGAGACCCAGAGGGAGGACTGTCAACACTGGTGAGTCCTCACAAGTAAGACTGGGTACAAGGCAGTGGAGTGGGCTCAGGCCTCCCGCGCGTCCCTCCAGCACATCCTCCTGCCTATGTGGCCCTGGGCCAAGCTGCCCAAAGATGTGGAGCTCTGAAGGGCAGACTCCTAGGACACAGCATCTCCATTCCCAGGGGCCTCTTGGAGCTGAGCCCAGGTCCCAGTGCCCGAGAGCCTCCCCTTCAGCCAACAGGAGGGGACGAAATGCAGAACTCAGCGAGGGAGCAGAGAGGGACATCTCAGGGACTCAAGCAAGGAGCAGAGGTAGAAAGGTTCAAGGCATCTGGGCAATGACAGCAAGTTACAACCAGGCAGGCTCGGGGGCCAGGGTCATGAGTGGGTTTAGGACCAAATCAGCAGCTGGGGCACCAGTTCAGTGGCACACACACACCCTGATGGCAGTGTGTGGAATACTCCAGAACTCCTGGGCCTGGGAGGTCCATGTGGAGAAGCTGGACACCCAGGAGGTGCTGGACTCTGGCTCCTGGAAGACAGCCTCCTAGCTTCACCCACCTGCACCATCTGGAAGCCTGGCTGGAGCAGCCTCAGGTGCCTGCTGCACACACTACTTTCCTGGACTGCCTGGGAACTGCCTGCCCTTTCTGTCTTCCCCAGGGTATATCTCCTTCTAGTGCAGAGGCTCTAGACAGTCCTCATACGTGTTTGCAACCCCATCCTGGTACTCACACATGTGGTGCTGGTGACGCTGACATTGCTCTTGAAGAATGTTTTGCCGTTGTTCAAGCTGACTTCAATAAAGTACTCCCTAAAGCACAGAAAACGCAGATGGCGAGAGCCAGCCCGGAGAGATGCAGTTCTTGCCCTTGGCCAGTGGACAGCATGGGTCATGAGAGGTCATTCCCCAAACACTTGCAGGTCAACTCAGCAATGATGACCAAATGGGTCAGGCAGTGAGGGGCCCTGCATGGGGTCTCATGCCATTGTGACCGTGTCCTAAATGACCAGGGACCGCTGCTTGGTGTCACCATCCTGGTTCTTCTCTATTTACAGAGTCTGTTGGCTTAACTTTGAGAGGCAACCTGGAGCAAAGGTACCATTCCTCGGGCAATCATCTCCTGCATCCTGCCCCCGTCACAGACCCTAGAACACTGCAGATCCCTGAATACCTTTGGGGCCACCAATGATAGAAGGTGGGGAAAGTGCCCTTAGCCCAGTGTCAGACACGTGCAGCCCCAGCAGGGTGGCGGGTGGGGGGGGGTTGGGGATATCCGCATTCTGTATACCTCACTGTGCCCAACCCTGACCCCCTGGCCTCCTACCCTATAGGGCCTCCTGCCAGGTTTTTCTGTCTTTGGTCCAGGGCAAGTTTTGAAAGTCTTGTCCATACTGATTGGATGTTCATTTAAAAGGAAATGACATGGGAAGAATGTCGATGCACACATCTGACCACTGTCTCTCCCCATGTGTGTCCTCAGCACGCAGAGCTGACCCTGTGGCCCAGGACCGGCATCTGGGCTCTGCCTTCCTCTTACAGAGACCCCTGTGAATACCCGCCACACCCAGGCCCTGTGCAGTGCTCTGCTGTGTAACAGGAACAGGCAGGCAGAGTCCCTGCTCTCAAGGGACTCACATTTAGAGATTGCATGGGACACAGAAAACAAAATTTAAAAAAAATAAATAAACAGGACAAAACAGATGATAAAGAGTGCAATGTGCTGTGATGTCCATGACCAGAGGAGGTGAGGGGACCAGAGGGAAGGGACAGCCGCTTCATTATGCGTGACTTCCCTCTCTTGTAGAGCCACAATTTCTGGTCTAGAGGATCATGAAATGATGCAAGGCCAGGGATTTGCTTCAAAATACTCTGTGGTAAGGGTACCAAGAAAAGCAGGTTGGAGCAGGTTGAGAATGATTGAAAGTAGGTTCATTGCACAATTCTTGTTATTTTGTATACTGTTGAAAACTTCCATGAATAATAAATTATCTCTGAAGAGGTGACATTTCAGCTGAGATTAAAAAGATGAGGAGCCAGCCAGGCAAAGATCATGTGCCAATGCCCTGGGCAGTGACTCGCTGACTTTGTCAAGGAGGGAAAGAGGTGACCCAGAACAGGGGGCAGGGCCTCGTGGGCCCTGGAAAGGGTTTTATTTCTTGTGCAGTGAATCTGTCCAGGTTGGGCAGATCCAGGATATATTTTGAACATGGAGGCAACAGGACTTGCTGGTGGGATGGATGTGAAGAGGAAGCTCGGAGGAGTCAAAGATGACATTTGAGTGTTTGACCAGAACAACCGGCTGGACAGTGACACCATTTACCAAAAAGGGGAAGCCTGAAGAGGGGACTGGTTTTGTTTGTTTGTTTTAAGTCTGTAATTTTCTTTCCCAATGTTTATTTACTTATATATTTATTTATTCATTTTTGTGGGAGCATGGTGGGCTCAGGAGAGTTCAGTAATGTGTAGACATGGAACCTTCTCACTCCTGAGCCCACACCCTTTTCATGCCTCCTGGAGTGTGGGGGAGGGCATGGGCATCTGCCTGCTGGCCTTGATCCAGCTCTCTACCCACTGGGCTTGGCTGCCAGGACCCCGGCTTCCCAGGGCTCAGCAACTGCCTGGCAACCTAGGACTGGCAGAACCCGTGGTATCGACCTTTTTGCCAAGGATGATTTCAAAACAATTATGGCATCCTCCTCATTTTCCTTTGAAAACCTTTCTCTGTTTTTTTTTCACCTCCCTAAATATGCACATAGTTTACTCTGGCGTGTGTTTTCCATGCCCTGTTCCTGAATAAAGAGCATTTCTGTTTAGAGACACTCTCTCTGTTTGTTATTTAGGTTGTTAAAAATTGCATCCAGGCGCTTCCAGAAGCCAGAACCAGGCCCTGCCCCTGCTGTGCTACAGGGACAGATGCAGGACAGAGGGAAGTCTCTCCCTGACCTGCACCTCCAGGCTGGCATCAGTGGCCAGGGAAGGCACGCTGCCATCTAGTGGGGGGTGCAGGGGAAACGCGTTCAGTAGTGGCCAACACTCTAGGGACATTTTCAGGGGATATCTTCCTAATAGTGAAAATAGGTTTAACAGTTGTTCTCAATTATTTTTAAAAATAAGCTTTTTACTCCTGGACAAGCCATCAACCAGGAGCAGAATGGCCATCTACGCAGGTGCCCAGAGCTGTGGCAGGGGCTCCCTGCTGCGAGACGTCAGTGCTGACCTGTGTATGGAGAGGTAGACGGCAACCTCCAGGGTGGGAAGCCAGTGCACCCACAGGCCCACAGAGGAGGCAGCTGAATGCCCTTCATGGAGGCAGGCTGGGTACCCCCTTTCCCAGCAGCTGCCATCACAGGGAGGCAGAAGGCCCTGGTAGGGCAGGCAGATCGCCTGGGTCCACTTTCCTGCCCTGCAACATGAACTGTATGGCCCTGGGCAGGCTCTTCCATCATGCTTTTCTCTGTAGTTCTCCATCCATACGGGAAAGTTGTCAGAACTAAAAATGGAGTCATTTGTGTTAAAAAAAAAAAAAAAAAAAATTACAGTCCATGACAAACAGGGCTAAGAAAGGCTGCAAATAGAGGGTTTTTATGCCTATATGTCTGGTAACAAAAGCTATCACAAAAGACTTTGCAAAAACCACAACCTTGCACAAAAGCCATTGCAAACTTAACACAAAAAATACTTCCACAGGAACATGTTCCCAAGAACTGCCTGTCCAGACTTGGACTAGTGTCACCCTTGCTATTGATCTGTTTAGACAAGGGTAATGATCTCAAAACAATTCCCTAATCTTCATTTCTCCTTTAAAAGCCTTTGTCTTCTGTTACCTCCCTGATTATGCACATTACCATGGCACACATATTCCTAGTGCCAGGCACTGTTCCTGAATAAATACTGTTTTCTTTTAGAGAGAAAACAGTATTGTTGTTTTCTGTTGTTCAGGTTGACATAAATGGTGTCCAGACGTAGGACCTGGAGTAGGACCACTATTGGAAGAAATCAGCCATTCTTGGAACTGGTGTGCAGTCCTCACTTGAGCCCTTGGAGCTCTCTGTTTCTGTGCTTGCCTTTTCTGTCCTGGAGGGTCTTCTCTCAGGCTGAGCCTCCTACTTTTGGGTAGAAGCTCTTGACTTCATTCGGCATCTGATTTGGATAAGTCAAAGACCTTACATGCCTCCTGAAATAACAATGTTTTGTCTTTTCCGGTAAATTCTTTCTGGTATAATGACAAGTGTTCTTCTGATTTGAGCACCCTTGTTTCTACATAATTTACATTTGTTTGTGAGGCATGTCTTTTCTGGCAAATTCACTTTTAGTTATGCATGCCTAATTAAATATTTGTTTGATCTGCACACCTGGGTTAAAATCCCTGTGAACAACGATTTTGGTTTGGTTCCGTGTGTCATATTCATAGGGAACCTAAAAAGCCCACATAGCCAAAGCAAGACTAAGGAAAAAGAACAAATCTGGAGGCATCGCATTATCCAACTTCAAACTATACACATGGCTATAGTCACCAAAATAGCATGGTACTGGTATAAAAGTAGGCACATAGACCAATGGAACAGAATAGAGAATCCAGAAATAAACACGAATACTTACATACAGCCATCTGATCTTTGACAAAGCAAACGAAAGCATAAAGTGGGGAAAGGACAACCTATTCAACAAATGGTGCTAGGATAACTGGCAAGCCACCATGTGGAAGAATAAAACTGGATCCTCATCTCTCACCTTATACAAAAATCAACTCAAGATGAGTCAAAGACTTAAATCTAAGACCTGAAACTGTAAAAATTCTAGCAGATAACATCAGAAAAACCCTTCTAGGTACTGGTTTAGGCAAAGACTTCATGACCAAGAACCCAAAAGCAAATGCAACAAAAACAAAAATATTCATGGCAGGTAAATTGATGAAAAAATTTTTGCATGTAATTGACTTGGTAATAATCAGAATAAAATTATGTATAGGTCTTCATAAAGATTGAGCTCTGGTATTAAAAATACAGTAATACTAAACTAAAAAATTGGTCTCCTATGTTAGAATACCAAAGTTTTCTTGAAATATTGATTTGCTATTAGTAACATTGCAAGAGGTTGTGATTTTTAATTCTGACTTCTGTTTTCTTTAACAGCCATCTTCTAAACTGCAGTCAGTTTCTATTTCTGGCACATTTTTTTCCTGAGATCCATTTAATTTCCCCAGTTTCAGGTAAGGAATGTAATCTTTTTCATGAAGAATGGTAATTTTATTTATTAAGGTAGGGTCTTCCTCAGATTCTTATTTCAGAAGTTCAGTTTCTGCTGCGTCCCACTGCACATGGTTTGCAGGCCATACACCATAGCCTGCAGCGCTCCTACTCTCTTCCTTCGAAAAGTTGCAGCTTTTTGGTTGGCTGAGGCGATAACTCTCTTCTCCAACTTTTTCATCAGCTGCTCTAACATTTTTCCTCCAGTTCTAACTCGGTTTTTATGGCCTGGCACTATAATGTTTATCTTGAAGGCCAAGAAAAGCAATGTTTTCCTCCAATATAACTAGATTACGTATTCTTGGCTTTTCTTGATATGTATGAATTGTTCCATGCTACCAAGAAACTTCACGCGTTTTTACTTTACCTAAGAGCTCTGTATTCCTCTGCTCAAGGTACTAGTCTTCTTGTTTATACTCTTCTATGAGTGTACACTCATAACCCTTGGATATATTATTTTATCTCTAATTAAATTTCAGGACCCTTTCATCAGGTTCAGTTTCCAGACTGAACGGGCTTCCCATGAGAAGAAGCAATTACATTGCAGGAGATTTCTTTTTTTAC